AAACTGGTCGAATTAATTTGAAAATTATAATATGTTTCGAATTGAGAAAATCAGCTTGCTGAATGAAGAATGTGTGAAACGAAAAGATAAAAATGAAATAATTGAACAAAACGAAGTAAGAAAATGAAACAAAGTGGGCAGATATTGAAACCTTCAACGAGCCCTCTCCTCGTATCAGAATATGACATCCGGTCTCGGCTTCAAGTCTTCGTACGGTCTTACCTCGAGGACCCAAAATTCGACAAATGTAATTGTAACCAGTCTTCTGCGGAATTTCAACTTTTTCTTGTAATGTGATCATCTCATCTTCACTCATATAATGCCGACTGGGATAATAATTCTTAAATCAACTGCAACAATAATCTTTCGATTTATCAAAATGCATATTATTTGTTGACTAAACCGTTTGACGCACACAACAAAATTTGAATTTATTCAAATTTTCGTCCAAATTAAAGCAACTAAGAAGGAGAATAAAGGGATTCCGTCAAATTTGTATGCAACGACATGAACCTGTGGTGCTAAATATGATGGACTCAGTTGATACAAGTTTCTTCTGTAGATCACTGTCCAAATTCGATCCATTTCTGTCGTAAGCAAGTATCTGGCATGCAGAAACAACAGCGGTGATGTTCGCTGAATCGCATTCAATTTTCTCATATCTCGCACCAGTTCATCCAAATATCTGAACGATTCGAAGGTTTGTTTATGACGGAACCAATTTCAATCATTCCAATTTACCGTAATTTCGATCAACATTCATACAAGTATTTCTTTCGTTTCGTTATCATATCGCTCACTACAATACTTTTATTTCAAACTATTCCACCGAATTACAGCGAGAAATTCCCTGTGATTGACATTAGCTGCGATGAGATCCATCATTAATAACCTGAATCGCATTACGCTAATATTTAATTTCCCATTTTCCTCACTACTATATAATCTTTAATTTCGAAGATTAATCAAACTGAGCCAATATATCAAGAGCAATGAATCTACCTGATCGCTTCATTCTGCTCCTCGAATGCACCTGAAGTGAATGTGGGCATCGAAAAATCGCAATTGAATTGTGGTGTTCGTCTTTGAGCACTTGACGTACACCTATAATAATTATGTTCATCTCTCATCAAATCATTCATTTCGACACCACTTTCAACAAGATATATCCGTCACTCTCGGTGATAATATGGCCAAGACACCAGCACTTGATCCAATTACTGGAGCTGCGAAAGAATTGCGCTATAAGCACTCCCCGCAGCAATCCACCCAACAAATAATACACATCTACAAATGGATTACTTCCTGTTTATATAGACTTTAAAAGGCGTAACATTATTCAAATTGAATCTGTGATTCGCTAGTTACCTCATACTTTTCGTGTTGTGCGTGTACACTTATGCATATAGTTCATGCAGAATTTTTTCTAAATTAAAGCAAACAACATAAAATTTTCAAAATTTTGAATTTATGCGAGCACATCAAATGCCAGACACAAGCGGTGTGTGTTTAGAAGAAACAGAAACTCGTAGACGGAAAATTTCATACATGGAAAATTTTAATGATGAGCAAATGAGTTGCACTCTCCATCGATTGTCCATCAGTTCAGGTTGATGAAGAGTTACCGGGCAAACCTGAGAGTGCAGTAACATTGAAGATGGTAACCTCTATAGAGCTGTAGTAACGTATTGACATGTACCGATAGAATGTAGAGCATGAATGAGCGATTTTGCGTTTGTTGCTGAGATAGCTTTCTGAAAATAGCCATAGATGCTCGAAAAAGCGGAACTGCTAAAATAAAAGTTTTTCTGAATGCGGAGATTCAGATGAATCCAACGGTACAAAAAAATTCATATGTTACTGGGCAAACCTGAGAATACGGAAGGCTCGAAGATGCCAACCCGAGATAATATTAATAAAATGCCTACATCTCCTCAACAAAGCCAAATTGATCAGTAAAATTTATAATATTCCGAATGGAGATATTCTGCTGGATCGAACAGTGAAAAGAAATTCGCATGATTCCGGGCAAACCTGAGAAGACGGTTAGCTCGAAGATCGCTATCCATCTCCGGGAAACCTGAGAAGACGGTTAGCTCGAAGATCGCAATCCGCCTATTGTAACCTGAGAAGACGGTTAGCTCGAAGATCGCAATCCGCCTATTGCTACATGAACGCATTGATTGCTCTGTAGTGATCAATGTTCACGAATGATGAGCGCGACGGCGCTAATTGAGATAGAGGTAAGAAAATGGCTATATACCCTCAGAAAAGCAAAATCGCTCTACAAAATATATGTTTTTCTAAATGAAGAGATCCAGCTGGATTGCTTGATGCAAAAAAATTCATATGTTACTGGGCAAACTTGAGCTTACGGTAGCCTTGAAGATGCCAACCCGAGATAACATTAATAAAATGCCTATATCTCCTCAACTAAGCCAAATTGCTCAGTAAAATTTATAATATTCTGAATCTAGAGGTTCTGCTGGATCGAACGGTGAAAAGAAATTCACATGTTTCCGGGCAAACCTGAGAAGACGGTTAGCTCGAAGATCGCAATCCGCTATTCCTCTATAGTGACCAATGTTCACGAATGATGAGCGCGACGGCGCTAATTGAGATAGAGGTAAGAAAATGGCTATATAACCTCAGAAGAGCAAAACCGCTCGACAAAATATATGTTTTTCTAAATGAGGAGATCCAGCTGGATTGCTTGATGCAAAAAAATTCATATGTTACTGGGCAAACTTGAGCTTACGGTAGCCTTGAAGGTGGCACCAGAAATAGCATTAATGAAATGTCTGCATCTCCACAACTAAGCCAAATTGCTCAGTAAAATTTATAATATTCCGAATGGAGATATTCCGCTGGATCGAACAGTGAAAAGAAATTCGCATGTTTCCGGGCAAACATGAGAAGACGGATAGCTCGAAGATCGCAATCCGCCTATTGCTAATATG